ATCGAAACTAATCCATATATTCTATATTCCTCGAAACCGAGATTTCTATTAATCATTACCACTGGCAGGCATTCTTGATGCTTTTCAGAATTAGAATTAGCCTGAGAGTAGCTTTTCGTAATCTATTTATTAAATTGAATTCTCGATCTTGAAATATTGGGATTGGATTAAAATGCTTGTATTAAGTTGATTTCTTATAGAGATTATAGTGATAAATACTAAGTAAGTATTATAAGATAAGATAAGATATACTAAAACCAAAAGGTAATCGAAAAGTATTATACTATACTATACTTGTAATATAACTCTTATTTTCTTTATTTCTATCTCTCAGGCTATAACTTGAATCCATTCCTTTCTCATTTCTCTCCCCACTCCCCTCTCTCGTGTACCTCTACCCCCACTCCCTATCCTCATTTTTTCTTCTTTTGTTTTTCAAGTTCTCTCTACCCTTATCCCTATCCATTCCTATCCCACCCTCATCCTCATCCTCATCCTATCTTCATTTTCATTTTCATATTCATTTCCATTTCTCTCTCTCTCTCTCTCTCTCTCTCTCTACTACCCCTCTCCGAATCCGATTCCGATTCCGATTCCGATTCCCCTTCTCTATCTATATTCCCAATTTATCCTATCCTATCCTATCCTATCCTATCCTATCCCAACTCCAACTCCTCCTCCTCCTCCTCCTCCTCCTCCTCTTCCTCCTACTCCTCTTCCTCCTATTCCTATTTCTATTCCTATTTCTCCAATAATAAACAAAAAAAGAAAAACAAAAACAAACAGATCAACCAATCAATATATTAATATTTTACTCATCTATCTATCTATCCACTTACTTACCTCTCTACCTATCTCTACCCCCTATCCCTTTCTACCCCCCATCTCTCTACCCCACTCTATCTCTCTCCCTCTCCCTCTCCCTCCCCTTCTTCCTATTCATATACCCACTTAATTTGAACCCTCAGCTCATTCATCTATCTACTTCAAGTTATCCATCTATTCATATAAAAAGTTATATCTTTATCCTTTTTTTATCCTTATTCTTATTTTTATCTCTCCTCCCCCCTTTTCCCAATTTATCCTTTATCCCTCTCCCTCCTCTAATTTCTTATTCTATCCTCATCCCTCCCCCCCCAATCATCCTTATCCCTCTCCCCCTTTTCTTTCTTCCTTTCCCTCCCTCCCCCAATTTATCCTTATCCCTCTCCCATCCCATCCTCATCCTCATCATCATCCTTTTCT